TAAAGCTTAACCGACAAAACTTTACCAAAGATATACAACTTGCCTTTCTCCCCAAGTTCACCATCTCCCTGATCTAGAAGATGAACTCCAAGACTCTCCTTCTTGCCAAGTATAAAATTGCTCCAGAACTGTTGCATATCCTCGTCCATTAAAGTTTCTAGAAGACCACTCATCCCAAAGGAAGAGACATTTCAGCAAGCCAATCGCACTAAGCCGAGCTGAATGATTCAAGATCTACACACATAAATAGACAAAAAATAAAAGAAAAGATGAACCAATGTGAAGTCTTTATAAGAAACAACCTGTAAAAACCTTATTGGCAATAAAGGTTGAGATACTCTATCAAACGACCCTAGTAGGAGACTGGAAAAGAAAGAAAACCCTAAGAACAAAAACTTCCATTAGTTTGACCTAAGGAAGACATCGACTCTATAAGACAGAGAGAAAACTCTACCCCTTAGAGAGAGATACTAAAATCCGTTTTTAATCTTACTAATAAGTAGTTGAATCCACTTTTTTTTAAAACTCCAAAATACCCTTCTAATGGCTTAAAAAATAATCTTCAACATTAAATCAGTTTCCTAAATAGTCATCCTTGATTTACACTTAATAGAAGATTTTTTTCCATAAAATTTAAAATTCAAATTTAAATTTGACATCACTACAATCTCTATCTCTCTCTCTCTCTCTCTCATTTTTTTTCCTGAGAAGACTATGGTTAATTTAATATTTAATGTAACTATGCATATTACTATTTTTTTTATGAGCATGTTATTATTGATATTGAATGTTACTATTTTTTTGAAATATCAATATTCAATGTTACTTTTTTTTGTTGATTATGTTACTATTATTAATTTTTTCAAATATTGATATTCAATTTTATTATTTTTATTTTTGAATGTTACTATTTTTTTGTGTTTAAGTGATACTATTTTTAATTCTTAATGTTAATATATATATATATATATATATATATATATATATATATATATATATATATATATATATATATATATATATTTGTGTGTGAGAGAGATAGAGAATTTTAATATTAGTCAAACTTCTAAAATTTAAGAATTGTTAGTTTTCAATTTTGTTGTGATTAAATATAAATAATAAGAGTATTTTGGACAATATAAATTAAAATAGACTTAATATTAAACAAATTTTTTTGATGAACTAATCATCAAATAAGTCCAAATTTTCCCTTTTAAAAACCCTTTCAACGGTCACCTCTCTCTCTCTCTCTCCTCTCTCTCCTATCCATTAAAAAATCATAGGTAGACATCTTTCAATGTTAAAACTTATAAAATCTTACTTACGATCAATCATATCATAACAAAGATTAAATGAGTTAGCCATATTATCCATTAAAAACAACATATTGCTGAAATTTAAATATAAAAACTTAATCACTAAATTTGCATCTTAGAAAACAAGAAGATTAATTTTTAAGTAAAATAATATCATATGATATATTTATAATAAATTTTAAAAGGACCTCATTTAAGGCTTTTGCATAGGGCCTCCATTTACATCGAATCAGCCCTGTCACTACCATAACAAATATTTTCCTTAGTTTAATATAGAACTTGTTTGTTGTTTCCCTAAAAAAAAATGGAAAATTGAATTCCTCAGCCAAAAATTTCAAAAGAGTAAGAATACAAAACAAGAAAATAAAACAAATGAGGGATTTCCCCATGCCATTATCACTTTTTTTGAATCTTTATATTAAATTTTTATTGTGACGTGATGTTGATGTGAATTGATTTTTTACGTTAACATCGTAATAATTAGGTTTTTAAAAATTATGGTACAATACGATTAATCGACATGAATCGATATAAAGTTAAGTAGGTTTGAATGAAGTCTTAAAGGGTGCAGGTGGTAAGCGGGGGCGAAATATGGCGACCCATTTAAATTAATAATTATTTAATTTTTTAAATCAGAATAATATATATAATTTAATAATTAGATCAATTTTTAAAAAATTTAATAATTATTTTTTTATTATAATAATAATAAAAATATTTATTGAACTGATTAAAAAAGTCGTATCGGGTAATTTATTTAATAAACCAATCATGTTTGATTTATAGATTTTCACCTGCTTAATTAAACGTATCGTGCATGCATTGAATAATTTTTCACTCAAACTTAATTAGATCTGACACGAATCTGCTTAACTCGATACAGTTGACACCCTAATAATAACTTCATTCATTTTTACAAGACCCACTGACAATCTAGTGACCACAAGCATTAAGTCTCTAAATCTTGTTCTTAAATTATGCCCCATTAACATTACTCAAATGTAAAATTGGATTCAAAACTTCAAATATTCTAAATGGACAGCCCGGATCCATAAACTTTTTGAGCAGGCTGGCTTTTGTTGCCCATCTAGCGCAGACCAAAATTGCATATCACAATCGTCTTTTGTTAACATGGTGGGGTCTAAATTCCTCTCAATTCCAAATTTTGTCAAGATGAAATGCAAATTTCAAATCATTGACAAATTTGTAGAATACTATTGGGGGTCCATGAGAGTCATAAACTTGATGCTTGACCAAATTGATAGAATTCAACATTAGTCAAATTAATGCTTCAAGGGTTTAATTTCAAGAATCAACCTTTTTAAAAAATTGTTAAAATTACCTACTATTTACCTGTTCTCAAAACATTAAATTACGCTAAGATCAAAGAGAGTATTAGAAGAGGAGAACTCGTGAAGCTACGAAAAGGCTAGTTGAAAGTCTTAAGAGAGATACACGTAGGAAAAGAAAGGAAAACTAAGCCAATTAAAAACACGAGCCACATGACGTTTGTTTTCTTTATATACAAGAGAAGGGAGAAACCTTTTTTTGTTTTGCGACCGATGTTAAATTTTATCTTACACATCTTTTTTCGTTCTTTATCTAACATTCACATCAATTCAACAAGGGAGCTTGCACTCCCAGCAGTGCTATAAATGCTTCTTGATTAGTGTGAGTAACATATATTTTTTTTATTGTGTAACCCTTTGTATGTACATTTTTAATGTTTAAATAAGACCTCGGGTTAAACCCGTGAATCAAAAGGCTTAACTCAAGTCTAGCCCAAATTTAATTTGGGTTGAATTTTTGTACTGTATTTGAATTGACCCGTTCAAATTATACCCGGAAAAAAATAAAGATAGAATTGAGATCCTCTTTGTTACTCTATCATTTTGTTGTCACTCAAAATATATTGTGGATCAGTAGGTCTATCTCAAAAAATATCTAAGTCTACTTATCTAACAACAATCTACGTTGATTTAACACAACAAAAATTAATAAAAAAATTATCAAAATAGCAGTGCAGGTAGAGAAATAGACGCTCTTTCTATAATATAAAATATAATAGACTTCAATTCAAATAGATTCATTCAACAACTACTAACATTTTTTTAAAACTATTTATATTACATCGTGCTTTCAAATACAGATTGTTCTTAGTTTCTATGTAACGCAGACTAGTGTTTTGTAAAAACATTAAATAAACACAAAATCTTTCCATCCCAATAACTTAATTGAGCTACAGATGTTTAGAGGTTTAATGTGTCGTATCATATTGACTTTATACTATGTCGTTGTCGTCTCGTGTCAAAATTTATTCAATTCATATTCCGATCGAATTCATTTTGAATTCTCAAATAATGTATAGAATTGTGGGGCTAGAAAATTTTCCCCCATTTTGGAAACGGTTAAATTCTCACTGAAATGATCATGACATCAACCTGCCTCCTAAGTGCAGCTCTCACACACATACTTACACACAGAGCCAGCTCTTCCCTAGTCCTAACCAGTTGTTCTAAATTTAATATGTTAAATAACCACCAAGTTCCAACTAATTACAAGATTGTCATTCTTATTGTCAATTCACCAAGACTTAAAGACGTTGGCCCTCGTGGAGTCTAGTTTGTATGTGTGATCCGAATGATAACTTGACTAGAAATAATGTTACGTGATTTTTTTAATGGAAAAATTTTTTGGGCCTGTTTTATAGCTCAGTGCGTAGGACATATAAAAAACTATTATTTTAGTGATTAGGGTTTCATCGAAGTGTATAGCTGCTCTCTGTAATTCTCTCTCTCAATAGTAAAATCCCTAAATTTTGTGAACGTAAACAAATTATCGAATTACGTAAAATTTGTGTGTTTTGTTCTTTCTTGTTTTTTATTATTTTATATTTTTGATTTGTTATTTGATTGTGTGTGTTTGTCAATAAATTTAAAACGTATTAAATTCCAACAGAAGATTGCTGGTTAAGACCAAATTCTCCCTGCATCCAGCACCCTACACCACGTCCTTTTCAAGTCGTAATATCATCAACCATTAGGGGACCTTATGGTAATTTCACATCTCAATCACAAGGTCCAAACACCCGATTGGAAAAAACAATATCCAATGGCATTTTCGATAATTTGGTCCAACCACAATGGCATATTTTAAGCATTCACCATAAATACCTGGAAACCTGCCGTTCATCCATTCTCCTCTCTCCTCCCTATATAAACTCAATCCCCTACCCGTTCCCTCATTTCCCCTCTCTCCCTCCCCTAACTCTCTCTCTCTCTCTCTCTCTCTCTCTCTCTTCCCATCCAGGAGGCGACATGTCTGAGTCCACTGTCCGTGCAGCTTAGATCCACCCATATCGTCAGATTCCGGCCACACCCCCTTCTCAATCCCCTTTTCACCACACAACCCAACAAATCCATTCTCTCTCCCTCTCTCTCTCAAAAATAATTTTTTTTGTTGTTTTTTTCCAAAAAATTTCCCATTTCCATTTTAACCCCTGCTCCTTATATTTACGTTTTTAACCCCGTTAGTTATTTTAAACTTTTTTTTTATCTGTTTTGGCGGTGTTATTTTGCTTAAAGGAACATGTATTTAAAAACACTTGCTCAAAAAAAAAAAGTGTTCTGAAAATTTCGAATAGTGCTGAAGTGGCGTGTGTTAGATCCAAAACGGACGGCTAGGATGAGCCATCATCACCACCCACGTCGAATCTTGACACCTGGGGCTTCGCGAAAGCGGAAAGAGACCGAAACGTTTTACGCTGTACAGCCGTTGAAACTAACGGCGAATCTACAACCTTCGGTTAGTGCTGCGACGTCGTCTAAGGCAGCAGAACCGGTTTCGTCTAATCAGCTTCTAGCCGGTTACATGGCTCACGAGTTTTTAACCAAGGGTACGCTTTTGGGTCAGAAGTTTGACCCGGCTCGGGCCGGAGCTATGCCGGTTTCCACAGCAGACCTGAAGAGGAATAAGCCGGGTCAGAGTTTGGAATCCGACCCGAGTGGAAAAATGAAGCCGGAGCACCAACGTTATGCTGACGTGGCGAATTTGCTGAAGAGTGAAGGGACCCACATTCAGGGGATAGTCAATCCTACGCAACTGACTCGGTGGATTCAGATGTGACATGCAATGTGGGGTTACGTGGAAGCGTTTCATTGGTTGGACCTTTTGGTGGTCTAAGGAAGAGAAGTGCAACCTCCCTTAGCTTGTAAAAATCTCCTCTGGAGGTGACTGGTGAGTCATTGGTGGATGAGGTATTGAGGTGCTCTTTTCTCTCTCTCCCTCTCAAATATCAACCAGAGGGGAACGCCAGAATGTTGCGATATTCCGGCGACTTCTATCTCTCTCTCTCTCTCCTCCATCCCTCTATACTGTGCTTTTATGCCGTACTTCATGAGAGAGAAACACTTTTTTTGTTGTTATTTTGATATCTTTTGTTTGTGCCTCGTTCTATGCTGCTTTGTTTACTTGAAACTAAAGAGTGGTTCAGTTGGTTTTTTTTCCTGATGTGCATGCATGTGCGTATGCTGAATGCATGTGTATATAAAGGGTAAGATTACAGCATCGACGTTATTACGAATCTATACAGTACGGACTTGATTAAATTAATAAAATCATTTAACAGTTGACGATATTCTCTTAAAATTATTTATATTAAATCGTATATTCAAATACGAATTATCCCATAATAAAAATAATATTACAACTCAATTCGATATAATTACAGTAAAGCGAGGTTTTTTGACTGTACAACACAGTTATTATTTCTCAAAATAAGATCGTTTTATGTGCAAAATAATATTATTTTATGTGAAAAATGGCGGGGAGCAGGACCCTTGCTTTATAGGAGAGAAGTCAGACCTGCCTTTTTTTTTATATCAATTTTGAATATTTTAAGAATAATGCCCATGTTTAGACTTTAGGCCATGTTTTAAGTTAATCAAATTAATAGTTTAAATAACATGACAGTATTTCTATTACAATTTTTTTTTTTTAACAATTTTTTTTATTTCTATTACAAAAAATATACCAAATAATTTTGGTTTTTTTATTAAACTTAAAACATTAAAATCAATGGACCATGATTATTTAAAATTAAAATGATAAAATCTTCCTTAAACTTGGCTATCACAAAAAAAATATTAGGTGGATTAGTAATACTATTAATATAAAAAGATATGGTAACTAAATATAAAAAATAATAATACTTTTAATCTAAAAAAAGAATAAATTTTAAATAAAAAATTATTAATATTAAAAATACAAGCCTCATTTTTAATTATCGCTTTAGACCTCAAATAGTTTTGAGCCGCCCTAAAACCCCACTATATAGTCAATCTATCATTTTTCATCTTAACTTGATTATAGTTATTTGTAAATCGACTCACATAAAAAAGGTCGAATATTCTAATTGTTCTTCTTCAAGCTTTCTTTATTTGGTGGGTTTTAATTACTGCTACAGCTCTTTGAGAAAATAGGTATACGAATTGTAAATTAAAACACATGAGAGAGATGGGTCAGTGAAGATGATGGAGGTAGAGATGGAGAAGACTGATCATGTGAGTGGTGGGTTTGGAATGGACCAAAGTATTTTTGTGTCTCCATATAGTATGTAAGAATATAATTACCTTTTTGTATTCAAATTTTGACTTTGACTTTTAGTTTTAAGATATCCACTCACAAAATTGTGGCGTCTTTCCGTCACTTTAGACGAAAATATTAACGGTACCAATTTAGTCTAAAAACACAATGGAATTATATGCTTATTTTCAAATCATAGAGTCATATGCAATGCAAAACGACACACAAGGGGTAAGCTGAATCTTTTCCTTTTTCAATAATGACGAGTTATCTCAATACTAATATCTCTTTGGACTCGAGAGCACAACACTAACCTCGAATGTACAACACTTCCTTTGAATGTACGTAAGAAACTGAAAAGTTAAGTGCAGTGGTTAATAAAGTTTTTTAACAAGATAGAACTGAATTTGATTTATACACACAACCCCCTAGTAGATCATAATACTCAGACTTTACTTCATGGTCTTCTTCTATAGTTTTGTATTTTGGCTTTGTCGACATGACTTCCCTACTATATGTAGAGATCTCCCACTAGCTTGGTTCTCATGGAACTAAAAGACAAGGGCATAGTATGATTTTTGGGATCAAATCATTTAGAGCCCAGAACCACAAGATCTAAGATCTATTACTAAAAAGCAGGGTAGGAGGATCTTGTACTCTGCCCTACAAACTACGAAGAGATTGACATCTCCGGTGCTTGCCAAACAGTCAAACCTCTAGTCATGGGCACTCCCCACCCCTCACATTGACTTATCTTCATTCTTTTTTAGCCAAGGTGAACCCCCCCCCCCCCTCTTTCTTTTCTTTCCCTCTCTTCTCTCTTCTCTCTTTCTTTGCCTACACACACTCGTAAGGATCACAATGTGCAGTCGACTTGCTAATAATTTGAAGAACCACCTCCGTACCGTAAGGAATTTTCAGTGGCAGAAACGACTAATTACAACAAAACAAACAGTTAACCTAACTAAAACAAAAGCTGTAATGCCTATTAAGAGGAGACCTTTTTGCTCCTTTTCTGAGAAGTCTTGGCAAGAGCATCACAAATCTCTTTTTTTCGTTTATTGTTATTGTTGTTATTGTTTTGATTCGTGGGAATGTTATTGTTGATGTTGCCACCACCCATGCTTGCAGAAGTTTTTCCCTGAACCTCCAGAGAATCCTTCACAAAGAACTTCAACTTCCACAACGTGGATTCAGTCTGCAGAAAGCACACGATACAGTCAATGACTCATGTCGTGTACAACATAAAGAGTGTAAGCATCTATGAAAGACAGACGGACGAAGTGGTGGAGGAAAAATGATGACCTGAGCATCCATGTCAAGGTCCACCTCTTCAGCCGTTGGTTGGAAGCTTGGGTTATTTTGAGCAACAATTAGCAGTGCCTTATTTAGATCTTCAGCAGACAAATGGGTGAGAGCTGTCCCAAGTCTTCTTTTCTCTTCAGTAGTCATTTTTCTAAAAGAATCATTTCACACTTAGCATTTATTAATACAGGGATACTAAAATAATGGAGTACACAGTTGGGTCAGTCTCACTCATATCCTCAAAGGGTACTGTGTATTTCAATGTAAGCATATATTGCAGATGCAAATAGAATGTGCAAGATACACAATTTTCATGACTAGCATCCTATGTATATAAACCGTGCTGCACTGATATTGAAGGAAATTGTAACTCAACCGGGCCACTTACCATAGCCAAAATGACACCAGCGATCCAATATTGCAGTTGACGATATTAAATGGTTAGCAATCTTAGAGAAAATACCACCCACTTAATATCTATTTTGCAATTTTCTAGCTATTGTAATGACTACAATATAATACCCCATATTATCAACTTTCATCCTCAGCACATCTTTTGATACTAATGCATGTCTAAATAGTGCAAGCCATAAATGAATCCCCGGGAGAAGTCTAAGGCCCAATCCTATGGAATGTTGTTACATTCTCAGCTCAATTTGAGGTTCTTTATTGATGTACCATTTTCCCACTCCATGCTAAGTTGCTAACAGTTCCATAAAGGGACCTTACATAGTGATGTATATGTGTTTCGCAAACTGTGAACTAAATATATAAGAATTTGGCCATCTATGACTACATGAGACTGCTGGCCCAAGAAATAGTTCTTTAAAAATCAACTTTTGTAGTACAAGGCAATGCAGTCATGAATGGAAAATAAAATGACACAGTCAGTTGTGATTTTCCCTCACTTGAACCATACACAAAATAAGCATGATTTTAGAATTGCACCAACTACTTGTGACTACCTGTGCTCGATATTGTGACAGAGTAACTAGAGTAACATATGAAAGAAATCAACACTTGTGAATAGGAAAATGTCAATTAAGCAGTTTTCATTGACTAATGTCAACAAGATTTAAGACTTTTCACATTTTGAAGTTCATCCAAACCAAGGATTAACAAATGAATATTACCAATTGCATCAAAGTTTACTAATCTCCATAACTCCAAAGTAAGAAAAAAGAAAGGGAATAACTGTTCCGAAAATTCAGAGATATTGATGGAGCCATTGGATTATATATGGTGATGACATTAATTATTAATAGTCTTAGAATAGGAAATATTTAAATAAAGGCAATTAACAAGGGCTGACCCCAGTCAATGTTGGATCAAGCTGGGAGGAGAACCAGGCATAGACCTATCAAGTGTTCTTATCACATAAACTAACTGACCTAATAAACAAAATTGTTTGATGGTCTGATAGTCAAGCTTTTAGCACTGCAGAATGGTCTCTAGGTTGGAGACATTAAGATAACAAGAAGTAGGCCTCCATGTCAACTCCCTTTCAAGTATTTTATAACCAGTTCAAAGTTTTTTGTTGCTATAGATGGTGATAAACAACCTGTATTGCGAAGATACAGCAATCCAAATGTCAGTTTCAGAACTAAACACACATAGGAGATGTCAGATTAGGAACACCCAAAAATAGAGGAAAAAGTAACGCATACTATAGTATCAGAATTGGCTATGAAAAAAGAAATAAATTCTACAAATGCAAAAAAAGCCCTAAGACACCTATTTGAAAAAAAAAAACAGTAGCTACCTTTGCAAGAAAAGTTGTGACCATGTTTACCATCTATGGATCCAGATTACAGGAGGAACCATGGTTTTCTTGAGAGCCTACAAGGTGAAGTCTCCCTAATTCTACCGAATCATTTGCATATTTGAAAGATGGTTGAAATTTCTCAATGCCCAAGAAACCTTATTAAAGAAATGACCATAAAAATGACATAGATAAGATTAATGGGGAACTATTGCACACCATCCATATCAATAGAGCTAATAATTTTAAAGGAGAACCAATGAAGTTGAAAATCTGTTTAAGATATTAAAATGAACCTGGATTTTTGAAGCACCATTTCTCTGAGTTGTTCCAAATGCGTATCAACCTCATCAAGCTGAAAATGTTTCAAAACAATATTTTAAAACCGTTCCTAGACTGTTTACACTTGACATAAATAAGCCAATGGGAAGATCTAGATAAAAAAAGATCAGTAATCCAAAACTTGGCTCTGAAAATTTTGACAACCTCAGCACTTAAATCCCTAGCCATTTTGGCATGAGCAGCCTCCTGAGCAAGCTGTGTATCAAAATGTGCCTCTGCTTCCTCCTCTTTTCGCCTTTTTCCCTGCAGGTACAAAGTTCTGAAAGATATCGCATGATCTTGAGATGAAAAAAACAGATGTCTTGACTTGTATCCTTCACTAATAAGGGAGTCACATACTGAAAATTCAGAGAAGTCAGACACTAAGCCCATACTCAGATATTGATTTTTACCTCTTCATCAACTTTCGGCAAAAGTTGCAGCCACTTTTCCTCAAATTTAGCCAACAAAGTTTTGGCCATCACATGGACATCATCCCTTTCATCATTATATTTCATAGCATTCTTAAAAATCAGCCTCACATCTGCACATATTTCTCGGACGTTCTTATATCCAGTACCATCCTTGGCCTCCATTTTCTTTTTAACAGTACTAAAGTCCATGGGCTTCTCAATAACCTAGCATACACCATCTTAAACAAATTAATGGAAAACTAACATTGGAAAAAACCTAAATACAAAGAATAGTTTGAGAATTACAAAAGGCTGGCACAGGTAAATCAGAGGAAATTCAGACAACCAGAACACAGAAAAATAGTGTTCCAGCTGTATCTACTTCATTTTCTTTCTTACTTTTTAAAATATAAAATGCTTGATAAGCACCATAAGTTTGGTTGTTACTTTTTCAAGAGGGGAGAGAGAGGAAGTATACAACATGTGTTTAACAATGAGGACCATATCATTAGATGATCTGAAAACTGACATAAAGCTACCTCATAGTAGTCGTGCAAACCAAGACCTACAACATCCACGGGTTGCATAAATGGCCCTGCCCACTTGTGTTGAGTGATCTAACAAGTACAAGTAGTGCAAATTTGTTAGTGATTTACCAATGAGAATCCCAAGTCTTGACATTAAAAGCACAGAAGTGATGAAGCTCCATGGCAAACCTTTAATTCAACAGCGAAGACATAAATACATAATATAATATAAGATTAAGAACAATGGAGAAAGAGATCAAGCACAAAACTCTTTCCATAGAAATAGGTTATGATATATGTACAGAGTCCATAACCATGGCAAAGATAACAACATGCTTTGTCCAAGAAAAGCATTTTGGTCATTGTATTTCAACAATTTTTGAATGTAATATTGAGTATCAATTGCTACCAAGAGTCTAGCCAAGGAGTATATCTTGTAAGGGGAATTTGTGCCAAACTTTCCTAGAATACAAGGCATATAATTACAACCACCGAATAATAAAAAATAAATGTGCAAGTATGGGGCTTTGTAGAGAACTTATTCAGTACGTAGATATGCACTCCAACAACATGACAATATGATTTTTTAGGCAACAGTCATATTTTGCTGGCAATATATTTTTGCGCAAGGATGACAAGAACCTAATAGCTCCTTCATTGTCATGCATAAACTTATAGCATTTGACTACTACTTCACAAATTATTTAGCATATGTGAACATATAAAAAAAAGACAACTTAGTGCACGAAACTTCCACCACTACGGGGTATGGAGAGGGGCGGATGTTCGCCGCCTTACATCCACATGCAAAGTGGCTGTTTCCGCAACTAGAACCTGTGGCCGCTAGGTCACAATGAAATAATTTTACCGTTGCGCCAAGGCCCACCATCACATGCAAATGCATACTAGCCAGTATTTTCACATCACTATCACATAAAGGGGTGCCTCTACCTCATCCCATCATATTTCTTCTTACAAGCCTTAGATTGTTTTTTTTGCTATTCCTTCTTAAAGTATCTCAACTCAACCTAATTCAACAAAGCTTTGTCCCAACGTATCTATGTTATGGATATGTCTATGACATAGCCAAGTGGCGGCATTTAGAAGAATACATACCAAGACAATTTCACGAAACAAAAAATGTCCTTGCTCAATATAATAGTATAAATTCAGGAAAACCAAAAACGTAAAGAAAACTTTCAGTCCATCCAAATGATTCCAAGTAAAAGATATCCAAATCATTGAAAAGAAGCAAAGGTGCAAAACTACTCACAAGATTATCAATCAAAATATTATGTTTAAGCAGCCGCAGTCTAACTCAATATGGAAGACATCTGCAGAGCATTTGTGACTACCTGACGTAATATTGTGCCAAATTGACGTATAAGTTCTTGCATTCTCCTTGCAGCAGCTGCTTCTCTATGTGATGCATCCTGCTGCCGCTTTTTGAAACAAGCAATCTGTTTCTCCTTATCTCTGTCTTTCATAATTGAGCTACCTTTAGAAGTGTTCAATTGCTTTTTACTTGAGATAGAGTAGAACTGTTCAACTTTGTTCAATTGTTCCTCAAGCTGACAAAAAGAAAAAAATAAAGCATCAAAAGCATTAACTAGAAAGATTTTTATTCCTGGAATGCCTTGCTTTTTTTAATATCATGAAGCAGATTACGGGGTCACTTAGGCACTATATCAGCCATCACAAATCAACTACTGTGTAGGGCATACAAAAAAGTGCTACATGGAACAATTACAAATTGGATGATGTAGAGTCATTAGAATCGTTAAGAAAGGAAGTGAAAACTACAATCTCAAAAACGATACTAAGAGAAAGTATTAAAATTTTTATCAATAAGCGGTCTTGGTGTGATTTAGAAATTGGCATATGCTTTTCGGACCCAAATAATAGGAAAACTTTTGATTGAAACTTTATCTAATCAAAACTAATCTGTTAGGATGTGCCACTAGAATTCCAAACTTTCCAAATCGTGCCAAAGGAAAAGAGATTATGATGGTGGTACCATGGTGGCCTGTGATTGCTGACACAAACAAGAATATAATTGCTACCCTGGTGATGGTCCCATTACTGAAAAGTGAAAAAAGCGTTGTGTTTTTATTTCTGGTGGCATGGGTGGCTAGAGATAATAACAGACGGGTGGTTTTGGACAATGCAGCAGTACTGGCAGCAATCACTGAATTTGAGAGTCAAGTGAGGTGTGATTTACAAATAAGTTCCAATTTTAAAGTCTAACTAACTATTTACTGCTCAAAGTATCACGAATTCAGATCAACAGCATACAATTTTAAACCTGTATGACAATGTAAATGACTTAGTTTTTCTATTGAACACAAACAGGCCAAGAGAAAGATACCTAATGTTACAACCAAACAGATTAGAACTCAAAATAATTCTAAATTATTAGCAGCATTACTTTACCAATAAATCTTACCTCATCAACCTTTGTGAACATTTCATCAACACAACGCTTGAAATCCTCCAATTCAGCAGCATTGCCGTTGGTTTCTTCTGGTCCCCTAATCGTGACATGTGGAAATGATGTATTCATTGCTTCCATCTGATAAAAGGAAAAAAATAAAGGAGATTAACTGCAAGAGCATAATTTCTGAAACCATGCAATATCAGGTAAAAAACAATAAGAGTGATTCCTCTGCCATTGATATCATATGCAAGAATCATTCCCAGATTTAGAAAAGATGTGAAAGGACTCTAATGCTATGTTTAGTACATGGTAATGATTTTAAGCTGGAATGGAATGAATGTGGGAATGAAATGAGAGCAATAATGGAATATGTATTACCATTCTAGTGTTTGACAACTATTTAGGATTCTGCGTTGGAATGGAATGCACATGTCATTCCAACATTTGCATAAATTAATATTTTATTGGAATCAAATGAAATTTAACTAAAATATTTTTATGGAAATAAAAAATTATAAACAATTTTGAAACAATAAATAAGATACAATGCAAAGCTAATAAAATAACTTAACCAACAATTTCACCTAAATATAGTTCGTAGATATTAGCATAAAAAATAAAATAGAAGAAAAAAAATTGGCATAATTCTACCTATCTACTATTCTCAGCCATAAACAAAAGAGAGGCAAAAATAAGTTCGTTAATCATACATCATCCAATATATGAATTATAAGGTTGCAGTATACTTCAGGCTTTGTGCCTCGTAGTATACTTATTAGAAAAGCCAAGCACCTACTTATTAGAGAAGCCTAACATTACTTGTTTTAAATTGCATAATACATCGAGTTTCAGCACTAAACACCTTTGCTACCATATACGTCAATTTTCAAAGCAAAAGATCGATACAATTGCACAAAGGACACGCATTACATTAAAAACTTTGGGTTCAACTTTCTAGGTTAAACCTCAAGTTCATCCCCAAATATTTAACACAGCATAAGCCATTTAAGAATTTGCACTCTGCGTATCTTACATTCAAAAGAAAACAATAAAATTCTCACTCAATACGTCAACGATTAGAAATCGAACCTAATAAAAGAAATTAACTCAAACAAATATATAGCACCAAACCCAACTGATTTTCAGATGAAACCAACCAAAACTCATAAATTTCACCGTATAGGTAACCATATAGCTCATATGACTCTATCTACACAGATGGCACTGCCATCAAACCAAATAATAAATAACATCCATCGACATTTAATAGTCATACAAATTGTAAATCGAATGCAAATTTTACAAAACCTAACAACAGGCAACAATTTTTTAATCCACCACAAAAATAGCACATTTTTTATTTTTTTTGTGTGTAATTATAAGTTCACTTTAGCCTGAGCATCGTGCCCCTGAGTTGCCATTTACATATTTAGCCATCAGATATGGGTTTTACCATCCAGTTGTATTTCATTAGATTTATAATGATGCCTGGTAGATGAAATGGCTTGAATCCTTTTAATCTCCACAGCAAGGATAAAGGCACAATAAATCATATTATTTGATGAGCAGGCACATGCGTTAATGCAGTTCTGCAAAGGATAGAAATTTCACAAAATACTTCAACTCTGATACATGCTTCAACTAAATGAAAGGGGAGTCCCTTGGAATTGACCACTGACAAAATTACTAGGCAGCTACTGAGTGAAGGCCGGAAACTTTTCTGGTTAGGCAACCAAGCACAGCTGGCCTGATTTAGCTTTCCTTTTCGATATCCCTTTCAGACATTTTATCAAACAATTCGAATGCCTAAAGTTTCACTGGATCACGTAACTCAAGCAAGACCCAAAAAAAAAAGCACGACGACTACGATAAAACTCACTGAGTTACCACCATAGTGTTCGAACATGGCATCAAACAACTCACAAAATGAAAATACCTAGTCGTATATGTAAACATAGAGTAGGTTCCAGAGATTGATTCATTTTGAAAAGAGAATAGAATCCAAAAACCCTGATATTCAAGGTTTGGATCAGCAATGAGTCCGTAAATAGAACCAGACATTACCTGAGAATGGTTGCTAACGTTGGATTTGAGCAAATCTAGGTTGTTCTCTGTCGCCAATGAGGTCCTTTGCTTCACAGAAACAAAGAGGAGAGGCAGAAAACAGTTCAGAGGGGATGAGGGTAATAGTGGAATGCCTAGAGCGTTAGTGAGAGGGGAGGGTGAAGAAAGGAGAAGAGAAGAGAAGAGAAGAGGAAACAGGGAAAGAGGAGGCGTATCTGTTTCTGTTAGCAGAGAGGTGATGAGAGGAGAGATAGAGGGATCGGGTTTTTTTAGTTCAAATGGATTGGGCTTATTCTCGCGTGGGTTAATTGCATTAGTAGAGGTCAGTTTTGATTTTTGAAATATTAAATATATTTTTATGTGGTCCATTAAAATGATAATATTTAAATTATTAATAATTTTTTATTATAAATTTATCACATAATATTTAAATATAGGCAAAAAAATAATTTAGATACCTTTTGACCAAAATTTGAATAAATTTAAATAGCTCAAAAACTATATAATTTGAGTAAAAATTCTGTCAAGAGTTATCCAAATTATTTTTTTCTCATTTATATAATAAAGTAGAACGAAGTTTGAATTCAAAAGACAAAGAGAGGTTCAGATCGTTTTGAGATAAAACATAAACACATTCAACGAATAACTTAATCTCAACATAAAAGACGGTTTAGATCATCTCAAAAATTTTGATACAACAGTCTACAGTTATCTTGAATTTCTTTTCCCGCCTCATGAAGAAGCCTCTTATCGTAAGATTATATACTCTTATCGTTCATACGTCTCTATCTTAAATTAGAAAAAACACAATAATAACTCAGATTAAATTCACTTTAAATTAAATGATCTAAATTTCATCTAAATTCATCAAACTTAATCCAATGACTCACAACACATCCCACACAAAAATAAAATCTCACCAAGGGCAGAGCCAGAAAAATACTTTAAGATGGTCACATTAATAAATTTTAATTATTTTTTTATCAATATTATCAATAACTTAATTTAATGTAACTGTTATTTTAGTTGTAAATTTCAATGCTGAAGTCTAATTTCAGGGTGCATTGAATTATGTCATCAAATTAAATCTAAATAGCATTTTTTTTTTTTTTCAATTGACCATAAAAGTTCATAAATTCATATTTACTATAATTATGAGTAAAAATTATTAAACATAAAAGTTTAAAAAACGATTTGCATGGAATGAACAAAAAAAAATAAAAATAAATTAATTAAAATTTCGTATGAGACTAATTATTATCATTTTACAATTAAATCTGATTATTGTTTTATCATTTAAAAGAATTATAAATCAA